GCGCACTCCACTTTGGTGGCCGAGGGTTTTGCCAGTTTGGATCCTGGGCACGGACATGGCACCGCTCATCAAGCCATGCTCAGGCAGCGTCCCACATAGCACAACCAGAAGGACCTACAACTAGAATATACGACTATGTACTGGGGGTGCTTTGGGGGAGAAAGAAAGAGAGAAAAAAAAAAGGTTGGCAACAGATGGTAGCTCAGGTGCCAATCTTTAACAAAAACCGAAAGCTTAAGGTAAATCATCTTCTGGACTTTTTAATTTAAATTAATAGACTTCATTATTTATAACCGTTTTACGTTTACAGAAAACTTGAGCAGATAGTAGTCCAGAGAGTTCCCATATATCCCTTCTCCCCCCTACACCACAGTGTCCCCTATTATTAACATATTGCATTAGTGTGGTACATTTGTTAGACTTGATGCACCCAATATTGATACATTATTATTAACTAAAGCTCATAGTTTACATTAGGATACACTCTTTGTGTTGTACAGTTCCGTGGGTTTTGACAAATACATAATATCACGTATCTACCATTACAGAATCATACAGAGTAGTTTTCTTACCTGAAAGTCCTCTGTGCTACACCTATTTGTCCCTCCTTCCCTCTTCACAAATCCCTGGCAACTACTGATCTTTTTATTCTCTCCATAGTTTTGCCTTTTCTGGAATGTCATATAATTGAAATTATACATTTTCAGACTGACGTCTTTCACTTACCGTAAACCCATCTGAAGTATCTTAGTGTTCTTAAAGAATTCTTTTGGGTTCTCATTGATTTTTGTTATTTCTTTATTTTCTGTTTTATTAATTACTGCAAAGGATTGGTAATGATCCTTGAATACAACTGTCTCTAAGAATATGAATATAAACTCTAACAACATAGAATTGATATAATTTAGAAGAGTTACAAACATGAAAGGGAGAGAAGTTAGAAAGTAGTAAGTACACAGATTTTTCTCAACTTTCACAGTCAGTGTCAGACATAACATTTACTGATAAATCAGAGACTAGAGATATAAGTAAACTTACAGGTATAAAGATAAGCAGTAAGAAAAAAATCAAGTAAAATTGGGTCGTGGGCCCCTATGTTCATTGCAGCATTATTCATAATAGCCAAGATGTGGAAGCAACCTAAGTGCCCATCAGCTGATGCATGGATAAAGATGTGGTATATATATACCATGAAATACTACTCAGCCATAAAAAAAGACAAAATCATTCCATTTGCAATGACAGGTTTGTACCTTGAGGGTATTATGTTAAGTGAAATAAGCCAGACAAAGACAAACACCATGTGACTTCACTCATATGTGGAAGATAAACAAACGTATGGATAAAGAGAACAGATTAGTGGTTACTAGAGGGGAAGGGGGTGGGGTGGTGGGCGAAAGGGGTAGAGGAGCATGTATGTATGGTGATGGATTAAAAAAAAGAAAAAGAAATACAAGATATTGTCTGCATTATGGAGATGAATACCATAAGAATAAAACCAGAAATGGCCAGAAAAAAATAAAATAAAATTGGGTGCTAGGGAGAAGTGAGCAAATCTATCTGTCATTATTTATCATTGGGAGCTAATAAATACTATGTTGAACATGGAAATACAGGTTTGAGTATTAAATAAAGTTATAAGGATAATCAGCAATTGTTGCTATTATTAGTTGGTATTTAACACTTAAATTTGCCAAGTGCTGTTTGAGCACTTTATATATAGTAACTCATTTAATTATCATACCAATCCTAGAAAGTAAGTGCTGTCATTATCCCCCTTTTACAGATGAATTACAGACAGGATAAGTGACTTGCTCAAAGTCATATGGCAAAGGATGCAACCCAGGAAGTTTGCCTCTAGGGTGTATGCTCTTAGCCATTATGATATATTGCACCTTAAATATATCTCTTTCAAATTTACATACACTCAAATGTAAAACAAATGTAAACAATTTTTTAAAAAACCCTAAAGAATTAATAAAATAAAAAAAATAACTAAAACCAAAAGATTTTTATAGTAACAAATATAAGTGGGCTAAACTCACAGATTAATAGAAAAAAATGAGGCAGGCCTATATATCCTGAAATTGAAAGGGTTTTGCAGATACTTATAAATAAGCAAGGTGAGGAAGAACACTGGAAAAATACAAATAATGTAGTTGGTCTCTTCTGTATTTTAAAAAACCCCTAAAATATGTGTATATGTATAAATAGAAGAAGGGCTCACATGTATACAGCATGAACAATGGGCACCTTTTGGGAGGAGAGGAAGCTTAACAGAAGTGAAGAAGAGAGACTTCTCAGCTTACTGTGTTTATTTTTATATTATTTGAATTCTGCCAAAAATGTGTTATATAACACATGTAAATATTTTTAGTGTAGGTAGGTAAATAAATAATATCAAGAAGGAAAAGGTCAGGAAGGACAGAATCCAAACTGTCAGCACTAAATATCTCTGGAAAGTAGAATTAGAGGTAATGGGGAGCAGATTATTTTTCCCTGTCTTACTATATAAACTTCTGTATTGTTTGAATTTAAAAATGTTACAGTGAGCATTCTTGAATCAGAAAACAAAGAAGAGAGTAGTTGATCATTTTCTCTTGCTTTCCCTCTTTTATATATTATCTGTTCCTATGCTTTACCCAATGACTAGATAATTAAAAAAAATTTTTTTATTGTATTCATAATAGCTTATAACATTGTGAAATTTTAGTTGTACATTAATATTTGTTATACACCATATAAATGTGCCCCTTCGCCCCTTGTGCCCACCGTCCACCCCCCTTCCCCCGGTAACCACTAATTTGTTCTTTTTCCATGAGTTTGTTTATATTCCACATATGAGTGAAATCATACTTTCTCTATCCAGCTTAGTTCGCTTAACATAATGCCCTCAAGGTCCATCCATGTGGTTGCAAATGGGACGATTTTGTCTTTTTTTATGGCTGAGTAGCATTGCATTGTATATATAGACCACATCTTCTTTATTGAAGCATCATGACTAGGTAATTTTTAAAAAATTTCATTGGAACATAGTACATGAGTAGACTTCAGGAGGTACGTGATTTTAATGAGATTTACAATTTAAAGACTTGGCTGCTCCTTGTTGTTATCATGTGAGTCTTAGCTTAAATGTTACCTCTCTGGTTAAATGAAGCTTTTCTTTTTTTTACTATCAAAGGAGCCCTCTGGTCTTTATCACATTTTCTTGTTAAATTATCATCATAGTATTGTCATCATCTATTCTTGCTTATTTTGTTTTGTTTTTTTTAAAATAATTTATTTTCCTCCACTAAAATATAAGATCCGTGAGAACAAGAACAAACCCTGATCATCTTATAGCATAGGGCCTACAATAATGCTCAGCATATGGTACGCACTTAATAAATAGTTGTTGCATGAATGAAAAAAGTAATACTCATTCTTAAAAGTTCAGAAACTTAAGTTTTTATTAGGCCATCCAAGAATAATTTAGCTATGGTCTACTGATTGAAGATAATTCATAGGAGCCTAGTAATCAGAATACTAGTTTATTTATAAACTGGAGATGTATTATGTTTTTTTCCTAGCATTATTATGCCAAAACCAAATTTTTATCAAGAGTAAAAATTGAATAACACCTGTAAATTGGGAAAAAGAGAGATGGGCAGTATTAAAAAACTCTAAAACTATACTCTGGCAATAGATTGTATTGCCTAACAAGTACATTATCTAGTAAATGTTTGCTGTTGGTGCTGAGAATTGTGAGAGGCAGTATGAACGATTTGGTTTTGCTGGTCCAGTCATAAAAACAATAAAGTGACAGCCCAGTTGATGGTAGGTTATATTGTATACCTATGCAAATAAAGAAGAGCATTAAGTTAAACTTGTAGTTTGTTACAAATCAAAGAGCAAAAATAAAAGACGTAAGTAGTGGTTCCAAAAAACCATTCAGAGTAATAGATAAGTACTTATTAAAGCTCATTGATGGAAATGCAAATTTCCATTTTACATCTTTCTAAGTAGAATAAATCCTGAACCTGAATCATGTTTTGCCCATAAATCAAAACTACACCATTTAGTTTGAAATGACAGAGGTAGATAATAAAAAACCCTTAGAAATACTGGGAAAGATAGATAAGTGGTACACAAGTAGTAGCATTGATTAATTATTACTTTTCATGCGTGGTAGTGTAGTAGACAGGCAGTGTAGTATAATAGATCTTAAACTGTGTGCCTGGGATTCAGTCTTAGCTCTGCCTCCCACTAGGCTGTGTGACCTTAGGTAAATCACCTGTCCTCTCTGTGCCTCAGTTTTCTCATCTTGGGGTAATAGCTCTTTCTTCATAAAGTTCTTGGGAAGTTTAAACAAGAACATGTGTGTGTGTTTGTAGTTTTCAGAATGGTGCCTGGCAGATAGTACAGTACTACAAAAGTATTAGCCACTACTACTGTTATCTGACAAATATTGAGTGTCTACTATCGGTCACTGTGTTGAGGATGGGAAGACCCTGCCCTGGAGGAATGCACGGTGTGGTGAAGCTCAGGCTCTACTTCATCTTCCCTACTTTCATCCCAGTTCTTTTATTCTATATCTCGTATCTTATTTCCAAGAGAATAAATCCAAAGTTCCTACTTTAATCTCACTCTTTAATTTTTTCCCGTTTTGTTGCTATATAATTGATATATAACATTGTATTAGTTTTAGAGTATACAACATAATGATTTGATATGTATATATTGTGAAATGATTCCCCGGTAAGTTTAGTTAACATCCATCACCTCATAGTTAGAAATTTTTTTTTTCTTCTGATGAGTACTTTTAACATCTGTAAGATACATAAGTTCTGGGGATGTGATGTACAGCATGGTAACTACACTTAACAATACGGTATTGTATATTTGAAAGCTGCTAAGAGAGCAGATCAGTCTAATTTTTACCTGATATTTAAAGAGACAGTTAGAAAATTGACTTGCCTAAAATAAAATATTTTAAAGTCATTGTAAATTTTGTTTCATAGATGTTTGTTTGCTACTAATGGGTGTGAGCAAGTTAGATATTCTATACCGGAGACTTCTCCTCACAAAACTTTTTATCAGAGGATGGGGAAGGCCAGAGGATCTCAAAAGGTAAGCATTTTGTCTGGAATGCTTGTTCTGGATTTGTTGTTTTAGTAAACATTTAAAATTTCATCTCAGTTACAGAATCCTTTAAATATAAACTGATTGGCAAACTAAGCATCAAACTATATAAAAAATGAAATTATTTCCTTTTCTCTTTTATCTTTTTAGTTATTGCTAAGTTTTAACCCCTATAATCAAAATTGAACTATTTTTAAAGTAATTCAGATTTAAAAATAAAGAGCTCTCAGAAATACAGACTAGATTTTGAACTGTAATAATTTTTAAGTTGGTTAGAGTTTCCAGGGACTGAGCTTTCTGGGGTAACTTGAATTTGTAATGACTACAAAGCTGGGATATACTGTAGCTCATGGGAATATCTGGACTTAAGAAAATGAATTTTCAGGATTTGCGCCTTTAATTTTGAGTCTTATATATGTTAATTACTTTCTGAACAATGATATTTCTCACTTTTTTTCTGAGACAAAATGCCCAACTTAAAAAAAAAACAACAACCTAATCTTTTTCTCTAACAATTAAAATTAAGTTTTAATATGGCTTATGAACTCGACATGCTAATTTTAGTCTCAATATAACGGGTATACTGAATTTTTTCCTTTTTTCCCCCTTACCATAATAGACTCTTTGAATTCAGGAAGGTGATTGGAAATCGAGAAAGATGTCAGAATCTGGTTTCAAGTGATTATCCAGTATACATTGATAAGGTATTTAAATGAAAAAATGCAATTATAGAAATTCTGGTTTAACATAAATATGTGGCAAGAATAGGTTGAATGTTGGAGTATAATAACAATGAACACTAAAATGTGAGTACAGTATAGATTTTTCATTTAGTATTTTTTAAAAAGCTGTATGTATCTTAACTGGTTGCTTGTAACTATATTCATGTATATTTGGGGGCATATATTTAGTACTTGCCTAAACACAAGAAAATATTTAAGGCTGAATCTTTTGAGCCTCATTTTGTATCTTTAGGCTCATGAGGGTTAGAGTGAATTATTCAACATTTCAGAAGAATTGTAAGTACTACAGTGAAGTTCTCTAATTGAAGAATCAGCACATTAGAAGTTATTAGCAAAACAACTGTTAAATGACATCATAGGATGTTATGGGATGTAGTTAATTGCTGAGAGAATGGTAGAAAGAAAATGATATAAAATTAGAGAAGAAGAGAAATATATTTTGAAATAGTTTTTTTTTTTAAGCAACCACATGTTTTTTTCTGTAAAATATTTCTAGGTTTATGGAATTGGATACTTGAGATATTGTTGGGGAGGGGTAGAAATGGGAGGGCTTCACATCCCTGACTGCCCTTCAACCAAAGTAGGCACTGAAAAAAAGTTTTCATTGAGTAGAACATTTTTATAGAAATACATCTATGATAGACCAAGATATCTTAGTCTGTGTGTGTACGTCTTGGTTTTGCTTTTCATTTAGATTGAAGAGCAGTCAGACTGTAAGATCCTGGATGGACACTTTGTTTCCCCCATGGCCCACTATGTGCCTGATATCATGCCAACTGAATCTGTTATTGCAAGGTAAGAAATTTTATTCAGAAAGTTAAACTAGTAAGTTATTTATGTTCTTTTAGAATTATAGTAATATCAACACCATGTTATTTCAAATTACTTAGTATTAATTACAATAATTATTTAGCATTATTCCCAATTAAATGTGGGGTGGAAAAGAGTAAAAATAGAGAGCGATAGTATGCATTTGAACTTAAGTTGTTATAGCTTAAAACAGACTATTATAAATATATTTTATATAAGCTAAATCAGAAAGGAAGAGGTAAAACTGTCTCTATTTACAGATGACATGATATTATATATAGAAAAGCCTAAAGACTCCACCAAAAAACTGTTAGAACTAATAAACAAGTTCAATAAAGTTGAAGGATACAAAATCAGTGTACAAAAATCAGCTGCATTTCTATACACTAATAACAATCAGAAAGAGAAATTAAGAAAACAATCCCATTTACAATCGCATCATAGAGAATAAAATACCTGGGAATAAACTTAACCAAGGAGGTGAAAGACCTATACACTGAAAACCATAAGACGTTGATGAAAAAAACTGAAGAAGACACAAATAAATGGAAAGATATTTCATGCTCATAGAATGGAAGAATTAATATTGTTAAAACGTCCATACTACCCAAAGCAATCTACAGATTCAGTGCAATCCCTATCAAAATTCCAGTAGCATTTTCCACAGAACTAAACCTCGAATAGCCAGAGCAATCTTGAGAAAGAAGAACAAAGCTGGACGTGTCACGCTTCCTGATTTCAAACTATATTACAAAGCTGTAGTAATCAAAACACTATGGTGTTGGCATAAAAGCAGACACATAGATCAGTGGAACAGAATAGAGAGGTCAGGAAAAAATCCACCATATATAGTCAATTAATTTACAATAGAAGAGCCAAGAATATACAATGAGGAAAAGACAGCCTCTTCAATAAATGGTATTGGGAAGACTGGAAAGCCACATGCAAAAGAATGAAATTAGACTACTGTCTTACATCATGTACAAAAATTAACTCAAAATAGAGTAAAGATGTGAATGTAAGACCTGGTATCATAAAACTCCCAGAAGAAAACATAGGCAGTAAGCTCCTTGACACTGGTCTTAGCAATGATTTTTTGGATTTGATACCAAAAGCAAAGTCAAGAAAAGCAAAAAATAAACAAGTGAGACTACATCAAACTAAAAAGCTTCTGCGCAGCAAAGGAAACCATCAACTAAATAAAAAGGCAATCTGCGAAATGGGAGAAAATATTTTCAAATCATATATCTGATGAGGGGTGAAATCCGAAATATAAAAAGCTCATAGAACTCAATAGCAAAAAAAAAAAATCAATTAGAAAATGAGCAGAGAATTGGAATAGACATTTTTCCAAAGAAGACATACAGATGGCCAACAAGTGCATGAAATTGCTCAGTATCACTGATCATCAGGGAAATGCAAAGCAAAACCATAGTAAGATGTCACTTCACCTGTTACAATGGCTGTTATCAAAAAGACCAGAGATTACAAGTGTTGGTGGGGATGTGGAGAAAAGAGAACCCCTCTGCCCTGTTGCTGGGAATGTAAATTGCTGCAGCTACTATGGAAAACAGTACGGAGGTTCCTCAAAAAATTAAAAATAGAACTACCATATTATCCAGCAATTCCACTTCTGGGTATTTATCTGAAGGAAACGAAAATGCTAACTCAAAAAGATATCTCCACCCCCAAGCTTATTGCAGCATTATTTACATTAGCCACGACATAGAAACAACCTAAGTGTCTATCAAAGGATGAATGGATAAAGATACACACACACACACACACACACAATGGAATATTATTCAGACATAAAAAAGAAGGAAATCTTCCCATTTGTGACTACATGGATGAACCCTGAGGACATTATGCTAAGTGAAATAAGTCAGGCAGAAAGACAAATACCCTATGATCTTACTTATATGTGGAATCTAAAAAAAACAAAACCTTGAACTCATATAAACAAAGAACAGATAGGGAGTTGGCAAAATGGGTGAAAGTGGTCAAAAGGTACAAACTTCCAGTTATAAAATAAATAAGTCTTGGGGATGTAATGTACAACGTGGTGACTATAGTTAATAATACTGTATTGTATATTTGAAAGTTGGTAAGAGAGTAGATCTTGAAAGTTCTTATCACAGAAAAAAATATTTGTAACTTCACGTGGTGATACACGTTAACTAGACTTAATGTGGTGATTATTTCTCAATATATACATATATCAAATCATTATGTTGTATACCGGAAACTAATATTCTGTTACAGGTCAATTACATCTCAATTTAAAAAAAAGAAAGATTTTGGAAGCTACAAATGGGGAGTCATCAAGTATACATAGATACTTCCCCTACGTCCCTTTCCTGGGTGCTTCATGGTCTCTCACCTCTGCTTTATAACCCATGCCCATTTTCTCTGTGGGTAGGCTAGCTTTCTCCGTTTCTCATGCAGCTGGCAGAACATGGCTACTACAACCCCACAGAGCCTCCATGTCCAAAAGCTCAACAGGATCTAACTACAGTATGTCCTAATTCCAGATTACCAAAAGAGCAAATATTGCCCTAATTTGGCTTACACCTGGCCCAATCTGCTGTGGCTCAGATGGCCTGTACTCATCATCATGGAGCACTGGAAAAGACTGCGAGAAGAGAGTATTATTTAAGCAGACAGACTGCCTCTACTAGATGGGTGGTCAGTTCGACCTATAATAAAAGATTGCTATTAATTTAAATCTATTCTCCAATAATGAAGTCTTTACATGCATTGCCATGGGACAAAAGGAAACTACAAATAATAGCAAAGATGTCCAGCTTTTTGCAGAAAACATTTTAAAATGTTTTAATTTCCCCCAATCTTCAAAATATCAAGAAGCAGGACAAGTGCTAAGAATGCAAAATGAAGCAATGTTGTTAACATTGTAGTTTTGATTACGAGATTGAAAATTAAGAGTTAGTTCCCTTGAGCACCGAACAGAAATAATCATCAAACCATCCTAAATTTACTTGTCTATGTTCCATTCAACAATTTATTGACAATAGGTTACTAGTGATATTGTCCCTTGCTCAAGCCAAGTAAGCTCAGAATTGAGGTTTATGTTGCCTGAGAATTTAGCCACCTAAGGGCAAACCTTGAGCTGACAAGAGTGCAGTATTCTACTATGATAATAATTCTAAAATGCCAACTGGTAAGGAAATTAAAAAGAGAAGTAAATCAGTTTGGGAAGATAAAAAAGTTGTGAAGATGAATGGTGGTGATGGTTGCACAACAGTGTAAATATACTTAATGCCACTGCGCTGTATACTTAAAAATAGTTAAAATGGTACATTGTATGTTATGTATAATTTACCACAATAAAAAGAAGTCATATAGAAAAAAGCATTAAATGAGAGGACCAAAATATTACAATAATAATAAGACAAATAGAGAAAACTATGTTTGTTTTTTCTGGCATAGATTGCTTTTACCTCCAAGTATCAAAATTTTAATAAATCAGATCCTGTGATACACTTCACATTGAAAATCTAAAGAGATAACAAGCCATTTTATGGATACATCAACAGTTTGTACAGCCAAGCATTATTCCTGCTGAGAGAAAAAGCAGAGCTATCTGAAGAGTTGTTTTTTCTAAGACTTAATCATATATATTGATGTCTCTACAAAATAAGAAAATTTCATTATGCATTTATAAAGTTGTGGTATTGAACAGGGTAAAAATGATTACAATAAATTTTCTGTTTATATTGTAATTGATTTTTTTTTTTTTTTCTGAAGAAGACTTGCCCTGAGCTAACATCTGTGCCAATCTTCTTCTATTTTGTACATGGGTTGCTGCCACAGCATGGCTGCCAGTGAGTGGTGTAGCTCTGGGCGCGGGAACTGAACTCAGGCCGCTGAAGCAGAGCATGCAGAACTTAACCACTAGGCCATGGGGCTGGCCCCATAATTGAATATTTTAATATCCTAACACAAAGCAAATTTACAACATCTTTGTTGCCTTTGGGCAAATATTAGTTTAATTAGTCAATTACAATTTGAATGTCAAAATTCTGAATGGTCTTTTCTCCTGAATAATTTAATTATAAAACTTTTAAAAATTGAAAGTTTGGAGGCCGGCTCTGTGGCTGAGTGGTTAAGTTCGCGGGCTCTCCACTGCAACGGCCCAGGGTTCGGATGCTGGGTGCGGACATGGCACCGCTCGTCAGGCCACGTTGAGGCGGCATCCCACATCCCACAACTAGAAGGACCTGCAACTAAGATATACAACTGTGTACAGGGGGCGTTTGGGGAGATAAAGCAGGGAAAAAAAAAAAAAAAGATTGGCAACGAGTTGTTAGCCCAGGTGCCAAAAAAAAAAAAATTGAAAGTTTGTATTACAAGTCTTTTAAAGAGAATTTCACTGATGTGTTTTATTTTAAATAGATTCCAATTTATTGTGCCTAAAGAATGGAATAGCAAATATAGACCCGTATGCATTCATCTTGCTGGAACAGGAGATCATGTAAGGCTTTATTATAACCCTTTAATCCCTAGTTTGTTAACATACTGTCCTTAACAGATGTGGTGATTATATTCTTTAAGTATGTCATCTCTTCTTTCCTTAGCATTACTGGAGACGACGAACACTAATGGCTCGTCCTATGATTAAAGAAGCCCGAATGGCTTCCTTGTTGTTAGAAAACCCTTATTATATCCTTTTGTGATACCTAGAAATCTTTTCTCTTTTATAGATTTAGTCATCAAAAAGAATGATAGTAATCAACTTTTCTAAACCAGTTAAATTTAGTCATCAGTTCAGAAAATACTTAAGAAGTAAGTGAAAAGTTGTTTCATGCCTTTTAAAAACCAATGTAAGGATTGTGCTTCTGTAATATAATAAGATAAAGAGTACTTATATTTCTTGTGAGACTTATGCTGGATTTTAATATTAATAAGTCAAATGTTTGCTATTAGGGAAATCCTCATGTTTTAAATGCATTTATATTTAAGTATCAGTTGAGGTTTAGAACAGTTCTTAACTTGATTTTCAAGATGACGTCAGACAATTCCCAGAAGAAGAAAAGAAACTGATGCACAGATATAAAGAAATATTCAACGTTGCTGGTAATAAGAGAAATGTAAAGTTAAAGCAACAATTACTGAAGATTTAAAAAATAAAACACAATAGTCATTGAGGCTGTTGTGAAATGGCCTCATCTTATTACTGATGACTGTGAAATCAGTTTAACCCTTTGGGAAAGCATTTTTATCGTATGTATCAGGAGCCTTAAAAAATCCCATATCCTGGGGCCGGCCTGGTGGCACAGCAGTTAAGTGCACACGTTCCACTTGCGTGGCCCGGGGTTTGCAGGTTCGGATCCCAGGTGCAGACATGGCACCACTTGGCAAAAGCCATGCTGTGGTAGGCATCCCACGTATAAAGTAGAGGAAGATGGGCATGGATGTTAGCTCAGGGCCAGTCTTCCTCAGCAAAAAGAGGAGGATTGGCAGTAGTTAGTTCAGGGCTAATCTTCCTCAATAAAAAAAATAGTCACATTTAAAAAAAAAATCTCATATCCCTTGACAGAGTGATTTTGGGAATTTTATTTACTTATTCTGGGAAATTTAGTCCAAGGATAAAATACTAAGAAAAGAAAAAATGATAGAAAAGGAAACAGATGTTTTATAGCTTTATAGTAGTAAAACATTAGAAATATCTTGAATGTCTAACAATAGAAAAATGGTTGAGTAAATTGTGGTTCATAATACAGTCATGCACAGCATAACGATATTTCAGTCAATGACAGACCACATATGTGATGGTGGTGCCATAGGATTAGTACCATATAGCCTAGGTGTGTAGTAGGCTATACCATTTAGGTTTGTGCAAGTGCACTCTATGATGTTCCCAACGATGAAATCACCTAAGGTCACATTTCTCAGAATGTATCCCTGTCATTAAGTGATGCATGACTGTATTGGAATATTATGCAATTTGTTGTGTTATGTTTATTGCTCTACCACTTACTACCTGTATAACCTTGGCCTGTTACTTAACCTTTTAGTATCTCATTTTTTTCATTGGTAAATGCAAATAATCTCTTAGGTTATTCAGAGTATTAAATAGTTAATACTGTCTAGGGTACTGCCTGGTGAATAACAAGCATTCAGTAAACTTTAAAAGTTTATTATTATTAAAAAGTTTACAATAATGTATGAAAAGTATTTATAATGCAAAAATTGGATATAAAAGTCTAGGTATGACATAGTTATGCAAAAAACCTAAAAATGGAAAGTCCATTAGAAAGCTGTGCATAAAGAAAAATACTGGAAAGAAATATACCAAAATATTAATATGGTTATCTGTACATAAAGTAGTTTTTCTTCTAATATGCTTTTCTGTATTTTCTATAATAAACATATAAATGTAAAGAAACAAACCAATCAACTGCATTTTAAAATTAAATTGAAAATTGCACAACCCTGTGACTATACTAAAAACATTAAATTGTACACTTTAAATGTGTATTGTATGGTATGTGATTATATCTCAGTGAAGCTGTTCAAAAAAAAGAAAAAAATTAAGTTGAAAAACCTAAGAATTTCTAAACAGCCTATTTGAGATAACTAGAAAATAGTTATTTCAGTATTAAATTGTCTTCAAATTTAACTACTTTGGTTAAGTTAATGTATTTTGAGACACAGAGTATATTTAATTATTTTAAAACTTTCTCTTTGACCCACATTCTTAAATGGCTGCAGGAAACCCAAGGACCAAGTGTAAGTATGTGTCACCTTCATTTTTATACCAAATTTTCAGCAATATTAAAATTTTGGTAAGCATTTCTAAGTTTAATATCCAAGTGTTATTGGGGGAAGAAATTCTGTTATAAAACTGTAGTAGGAATGTTGACTTAAATTTTTATTTTAAGCTTTTTGTATTTTCTATTTTTTCTTTCTTCCTTTTTTTTTCTGAGGGAGATTCACCCTGAGCTAACAACTGTTGCCAATCTTTCTCTTTTTGCTTGAGGAATATTGTCCCTGAGCTAACATCTGTGCTAATTTTCCTCTGTTTTGTATGTGGGTCACTGCCACAGCATGGCTGCCAGTGAGTTGTGTGGGCCTGCGCCCAGGAACTGAACCCAGGCTGCTGAAGTGGAGCTCACTGAACTTAACCACTAGGCCACTGGGCTAGCCTCAAGCTTTTTGTATTTTAAATGTCTGATAAACAGATAAATAAATTTAAATAGGCTAGCTGAAGACATATTTTATTCGTAAAACTATAACTGAAGAAAATGTTTTCCTTTTTAAAGTACATTTACTTTGTGAAATTAAGCAATACTCTTTTTATTCTTGCAATGCATAGTATAATCTGAAGATAAACTTCCTCTTTCTGGGCTTTTAAAATGATGAACTTTGAAGGCATTTTTTTTGCATTTCCATAATCTGTGTTGTGTTTGGTTTGAGTTCATTCAGTAAATATTTGACTCTAGACACTGGGAAGACAGCAACAATAAGACAAAGCCCTTACTTTCATAGAGTTTGTATTCTAGTATAGGAGATAGATAAAAATAAATAAGATAATTTTAGATATTTATCAATACCATGATAAAAATAAAGCGAGGCAATGGGATAAAGAGTAATAGAGGGCAGGGTGGCCGGCCCACTGGCGCAGCAGTTAAGTTCGCACGTTCCGCTTCTCGGTAGCCTAGGGTTCACCGGTTCGGATCCCAGGTGCGGACATGGCACTGCTTGGCAAAAGCCATGCTGTGGTAGGCGTCCCACGTATAAAGTAGAGGAAAATGGGCATGGATATTAGCTCAGAGCCAGTCTTCCTCAGCAAAAAGAGGAGGATTGGCAGTAGTTAGCTCAGGGCTAATCTTCCTCAAAACAGAGGAAAAAAAACGTAATACAGGGCAGATGCAGGGTTGGAGCAGTGTTAGATATGAGGACATGATATAATGAGAAAGAGCCACCAAAGTGAAGACCTGGAGGAAGATCAGCCTTAGTGAAGGAAGAATAAATGAAAAAGCCCGACGTAAGCACCAGGTGTGAGAGTAGGACAAGACGAGATCAGAAAGTAGGAGATTACGAAGAGCTACCATGCTTTGAATTTTACTGTAAGTGCAGTGGACAACCACTGGGGGATTTTAAGCACAGGAGTGATCTGATTTAATGTTTTTCAAGGCTTGTTTTGGCTTACTGGGGCAAGAGTAGCAGCAGAGAAATCAAATAGGAAGCTATTGCAATAATGCAGGGAAAAAAAGAGCGACTTTAAGGTGGGGGCAGTGGAGATGGAAGGAAGTTCCAATGGATTTGAGATATAATTTAGAAGTTGAAATGATAAGACTTTTTGTTAAAATCGACATTGTTGGTAGGAAATCAAAAGTTCTGACTTGGACATGTTAAATTTGTGATGTCTGTTAGACCTGCAAGTGAAGAAGTTAAGTAAGGAGTTGGAAAATGCTGGAAAGGTAGATTTAGAAGTGACATGTTCTCTACGGTCATGATGAAAGTGGGGTGCGGTGGGGGCAAACCTATATCCTATGAAAGATAGTTTATAATAAACTTGGTGAAACCTTGTGAAAAATTAAAGTCCAAGCTAAATAGTTGAAGAATTTTTACTCTAGAACCAAGCTCTGAATTCAGAACTAGGTGTGTCATTTTTACCCTGTCTATAGGTGATTAAAAACCAAAGAGTTTGAGTTGTGGGAGGCAGCATGGGTTTAGTAGAAAGACTCTGACTTTGGAGTCATACAGACATAGGTTGGAATTGTAATTTGCCATTTACTAATTGTATGACCTGGGCCTCTTAAATAATAGTTACCTCATTTATAAGAGTGACTACTATATAACTTCTTCCATGCAGAATTGTTGTGAGAATTATAATGTTTATAAAATATCCTATCACATATTATGTACCCAAGAAATAAAATAATGCTCCAATATATTCGATTTTTCTCACATAATTCATCATCAGTAAGAAATGGCTTGCAATTTAAATAATAAACAATTCTCTGTCTCTCTCTTTTTTAAAGCCATCTTAAGCCTATTTTCATCAAACGTGCTTAAACAATTTGAGACAGGGTCCATCATTATAAATAACCACTGTCCCAGAACCTCACATCAGTAACTTCTATATAAAGGAGCAAACTGAGGTGAACCTAAGAACTCAAACTTCCGTACCAGGCCAAAATAAATAATCAGGGGAATTATGTGATCATAAAGAGAAAATTAGAATGAGGACAGGAAACAAATATAAGGATAAATGGGCTTTTTTTTTTTAATGAAGCCATGAGTATGATCTATTTTGACAAATGATAGCATAGTTTCCATAAAGAGAAACCCTGCCTTAAGGACCTAGAACTCCGAGAGGTTGTGGTGTAGGACCCTGGACATAGCTCTTTTGGAGCCATAATTCTGTTCTTCACAACTTGGCATTCCTATGGCACCTGGTTCTTTGCACATAATTATTCCGTGTAGGCATATAATAAATAACCATTGATAAAATGAATTTTTTACACTTTGACAAAGTTTCATCCAGTATGATGGTTGTATTCATGCAATTATTATGTGAGTATGTCTTTATATGAATTAAATTTTGAAAAATAGATTCTAGCTTGGTCCCTTTAGTAATAAATATTATTTTTTACCATTATCTAGGAGCGCTTCTGGGATCAAAAAGATGTATTTAAGTACATCTTTATAAGGAAATGTACTTATATGTAAAATCAGTTTCTAAAAACAAAAAATTCCAGTTGAATTGGTCTTTATTTAAATTAATCAAAATGTTGAATAAAATAAAGAATTATTTTCCAATATTTTATTTTATTCATAAATTGTGTATTTTGTGAAAGTAAGCAATATACTTAAGATTTCAGTAATACATGAGCATAGTATTAGGTTAAATTCTTTTACATTGCTTTTAAAAAATTTTTAGGCTTTAAATTCTATGGTAACAGTTTCTTTCTATGGGGGGACAACTATAAATTTGTCTTTCCTTATATCAATGGTGGTGATTTAAAACTAAAAATTTGCAGTATAAAAATACTATGTTCCCATAAATATTTTAAGTTTTTTTTCACTGCTATCAAATAAATAAGATATTCTTTTCTGGACTTTAAAATAGTTAAATAGTTGAAATTCAATGAAGATTATATGCTATAAAGCAGATGTAACTTTTTAAAAATAAATTTTAGGTGATTAATATGTAGAACAATGTTTGCAGCCCTTTAATTCCATTAGTTTATTCCAGTTTTACTTAGCTATCTGGTTCTTTAAAAGAAAAACATCAAGTCTGACTGCCTTTTGTAAATTTGCATATATTAAAATGTAAATACAGAAAATAAGTAATTTTCTCTTTTGTTTTGTGAGGCTAGAAGATCCAGCTTAAAAAACGTATCTGACCTCTTTGTGATGGGAGGAGCTCTTGTTTTGGAATCTGCAGCGCTCTTGCACTGGCTAGAGAGGGAGGGTTATGGCCCTCTAGGAATGACTGGAATATCCATGGGAGGACATGTAAGCCTTTTCATTTCACCTGATATTTAATTGTGGTTATGTTTATAAGATCTGGGGAATCTAGTTACTTTAAAAATTCGTTTTGGGTACAGAATTAATTTTACTTTTGGTGAAAGCAGAAATAGATTCTAAACTTACATTCCACTTATGAAGTGATGATATTTTTTGTATGATTTGTGTAAACATTGATTGTATTACTTACTCCACAGTTATATCTCAGGTATTGGATTATATTTTTTAAAAGTTGATTATAAAACTTAACTTTTCAAGTCTCAAATATGAATGCCTTATTTTGCTGTTAAATTGGTGAAGATAGCTAATGTGGAAAATACTTTTCATTTATCTCTTATCGCTATCCCCACTATCACCAACCTATTCTACCTTTGTCTTCTAGAGTATACTAAAATGGCCTCCTAATTGGTTTCTCTGCTCTAGTCTTTTCTCTCATTAATCTTTTTCCTAACAGTTTTTCTCTACCCTATAATTAGAGTGATCCTCCCAAATCTGATCTCTGCTCTCTCCTGCTTAAAACCTGCCAGAGGCTTGCTGTTGCACTGGCTCTAGCTATGCTAGGTGTTGGCCTCCTTCTAGTGCCCCCGCATTCCCTTCACCTAGTCAAGTAACAGCTTGCCCTTCAGGTTCCACTTTAGAGCTAACTTCCTATGAGAAGCTCTTCCTTACTCCCAGCCTTAAGCCAGACTATACTTCATCTCTCCTTAGTACTTATTTCACTGTACTATGACTACTTGTTCAGCAGTCTGTTTTCTCCATGAAGCAGTAGGTTCAGTGAGGGCCAGTAATATGCTCTGATTCATTACCTGGACATATTAGTCACTCAGTACATTAAAAAAAAATACATATATATATAGTAGCAAAATATATATCATATACATATATATATATATATAGTTTTCTGTAAGTCATTTGAATTATAAAATTAAGTTGAAAAACTTACTTAAATTCAGAGCAACTATCAAAGAGTGAAACTGATAAAATTAGCTTCAAAAACTTACTCAAATTCAAAAAAACTACCAGACAGTGCAACTGAAGAGTGGAAAAGGATTTATATTCCTACCTAGTAATATTTCCATTGTTATGACCTATGTTCAGGTCTTCTAACTTGGCCTTCTTATCATTTTAGCTTCCTTGAATCACTTCTTCACTTCAATGCCACTCCTTTGTTGAGGCCTCTTTATTAATTCCTCGTTTTCTCCAGAACAAAGGGACCTCTAATCTGATCCTGATCAATCTTTCCAGCTCTTTCTGTCTCCCCAACCCTGTCGACCACATGTGCCCTATTGACCAGCCAAACTGAAGTATATTGGCTCCTCCTCCCCTACCAGCCAATTGCTTTCTATCTTGCCTTTGATCATACTGTCTTTTCTATATGGAAGAGAAGACCTTATCTTTCATTTTCCCTAAAAGACTCAGCCTTCTCTGATTCCTCTAGCCACAAATAAACATTTCCCTTCTCTAAACACACACGTTACATTATTTTATATCAGTTGTATAACCTACTTTGTAGTTCACCAAATTCTTGGCATCTTTCCGTCACCCTCAGAGGTCCGCGATTTTATAGTTGTGATATTGCTGTACTGAGCTAGTCACTCAGGTAATGAGTGTGCTTAGCGTGCTGCCCCGCATCGACACCTCAGCATGTTTGCTCTGTATTTGCCCAGTAGAAGTAGCTCTCTGTGAAGAGTCTTGAGGTTACTTAAAATTTTCTAATATATTTTATTGCTTTCTAAGGGGGAAGTTCTATGTCATTGTTTAATTTATGATTTGGGGAGTTTAAGAGGTTGTTAGACATTCTCATGAGTGTTTAGAGACTTTGTGTTCATCTCTTATCTCAACAACTACTATACAAACTACTACATTTATTAAATATTTTGCGTTTTAATGAATAGAAACTTTAAACAGCAGCTCTCTAACTGACTGTGTCAACATGTTACAGATGGCTTCCTTAGCGGTATCCAACTGGCCTAAGCCCATGCCATTGATTCCATGTCTGTCTTGGTCCACAGCATCTGGGGTCTTCACTACGGTAATTTAATTGCAATTAATACATACAGAGCTATATATAATTAAAAGTAATTTGGGGGGAGGGTTTCCAAAACCACCCCCAGGTTTGGTGATTCACTTAGAAGAAATCACAGGACTCACCAAATAGTTGTCCTCATGACGAAAACATATTACAGCAAAAGGATACAATGCAAAATCAGCAAAGGTAAAAGGCGCATGGGGCAAAGTTTAGAGGAAACCAGGCACAAGCTTTCAGTGGAGTCTCACAGGAGGTGTTTAATTCCTCCAGCAATGAGTTGTGACATTATATGTGAAGTGTTGTCCATCAGTGAAACTCTTTTGAGCCTAGGAGCCCAGGGTTTTATGAGAGTCACTCACTTAGGCACCCTCTGCCTAGCATGTACCAAAATTCCAGAAGGAAAGCAGGTGTTCAGCAGAAGTGACATTGTTTGTACAGGCAATTTAGGCAGAGTGACCCACTTTATCATTTAGGAAGTTTTATATCAGAGTAAAGAACTAGTCAAGATTCCAGACACTAGTTGAGGGCCAGTCTTACAAGCAGAACTTTCTAAAGATAGGAAATCTCAAGCCTGCTATGTTAACTCTTTTCTGCACAGTAATAATAATAAAATTATTGGACAAAATGCTTTATGGTGTGATTTGATCTAAATTTGATTCATTATTTCAGGGCGTGCTGAGTAAATCAATTAATTGGAGGGAGCTGGAAAAGCAGTATTATACACAGACAGTTTATGAGGAAGAAATTATTCACATGCTTGAATATTGTGGAGTAAGTATTGTTAATTTCTGCATCACACTGGGGAAAAAAGTTGTGTTTAAAGATTCAAATTTTTTAAAAATTGCAGATATTTTAAAAAGCAGTACTATTTTTTACTTTTTAAAATTCTTCATTTTAAGATAAAATAAAAGTACAGAAAATCATGCAAAGCAAATGAACGGTTTACTACATTTATTAAATCGCTAACGCATTTGTAATACATCAAGAATAGAACTTGACCACCCAACCCAGAAACTACTTCCATGTGTCCTAATCAAAAGGCCCTCCTCCCCTACTGTTAGTTATCATTATCCTGACTATTAGACCAATTACTTCCTTCTGTCTTTAAAGTAATTTTATTGTCCAAACCTGCATCCCTAGACACTACAGTTCTTTTATTTGATGTGTCTTTTAACCTATAAGTTCCCTTTGAGCCCTTTCTTTTCCTTATCATTTATATGTTGAAGAACTTGGGCTACTTACCTGTAGTTTCTCACAGTCTAGGTTTTTCTGATTGCATTGTCCTGGTACAGGTTAGCATGTTCCTCCTGCTGTATATTGCCTGCAAATGGGCAGCTAGGTCTGGAGACTTGATTAAACTCAGTTTTTATTTCTTTGGTAAGAGCATAGGAAGCATTTTATATTATACGATGTTTCTTTTTTTTCCTTTTATTCAGACAGATTCTTTCAAAATGGGGAAAGAGTTCGTGAAACGCTTCCCAAGCAGTGCAGACAAGCTAACTAACCTTAATCTGGTGTCTAGAACTTTAAATTTAGATATGATGGACCAAGTTATGTCCCCAAAACCTGCTGAGTGCCATAAATCTAGTAAAACATCTATCAGTGCCACATCAGAAGGACTCTTGTTGCAAGATACCTCTAAGATGGAGTGCTTCAATCAAACGCTTTCAACCAACAAAAGTAGTTATATGAGTTGCAATCCTCAGTCACACCACCTACTCAGTAAAGAACAAAGAAGAAACAATCTTCAGAAGGAATCTTTAATATTTATGAAAGGAGTCATGGATGAATGTACTCATGTAGCAAATTTTTCAGGTACTAATTTTTACATGAAATTGAGAATATTTGCTGATGTGTAAATATTTGTGAAATATTCTTGAGGATGGTTTACAAGATAATTTCATATTTTCAAGAGTATATTTATTTTTTGCTCCAGAATGTATTTTCCAAGGTAAGTCGGTTATTTAAATGTATCATATTTTATCCATGAAAATCTAAGACCATCTTATTAATTCATTTAAAAACATTGAATTTTTTAACTTCTTTAAAATATTCATCTTATTGTATTAGAGATATATTGTGGTATATTATAGTTGATTTTAATAATCTGAAAAGTTTTTGTTTGACAAATGTTTCACTTACTGCATTGTATGATGTATTTTATTTTCTAATACAATTAATAGTATTCATATAAAAATCTTAGAGCTTTTTAAAAGTATATGTGTTTCATTTTTAAAAATCCTATACCTAGTTCCAGTTGACCCAAGCCTCATTATAGTGGTGCAAGCCAAAGAAGATGCCTATATTCCACGAACAGGAGTTAGAAGTCTACAAGAAATTTGGCCTGGTTGTGAAATCCGATATCTAGAAGGGGGTCATATTAGTGCTTATCTTTTTAAACAAGGACTATTCAGGTAAGATGATTTGTCTAAGCATCTGTGTGTTTTTTTGCTTCAACAAATATAAAAGATTGGGTCTTTTTATTGTACATTTTAGTCCTCTTATTTCCTCCCTCCTTCCCTCACTTCTCACATCGTGGTACTCTTTCCTATCTTGTCCCTTTATTTTCTTTTTCTTCTGGAGAACTAGGAAATCGTATATAATAGGCATGCTTTCCTGTGTGGTTTTACCCTCTTTAAATATTAATGTCTAGGTATTTTAGGGTGGAGGGAGGGACAACAGGGTTTGCAAAACTTCCTGTGGTTCATCATGAGGTCTTCACTCCACTCTGATGTTTTTCTCTCAGAATGGCCTGAGCATCTGTGGATTAATCTAGCAGTGTTTTTCAGTAGCAAGTGAATATTAAACCTTAAATGAGAAGTGAAATATTGGTTTTAATATTAATAACCGTATATGACTCCAGTATTGGTTAGAACTTATAAAAACTTTTATGCTATAACTCTAGTTTTTTTAATATCCTGCATTATTTCTACTTTTATTCAAATTTGATGGTAAAAGGTATCATTGGCATATATTTATCATTAATGATTAAATAAATTAGATCACATAAAGTGCTTAGATCAGTGCCCTACGCATAAGTGTTCCAAAACTGCCAGCTGGATAGCTATATAATAGAAGAATTGTGTGTCTATATGTTTGACATGTTTTAGCTCTTTTTAGTCTAACAAATAATTCTTTGTATGTTATTACTTATTTAGTTCAACTTATAGACGTCACCTTTTTGAGAGACAGACTAATTCTTTAAGTCTGTAATGTCTTGAAGCACGTAGTAAACCTTTTTTTATAATATGATCTTTTAAAAGCTATCCACTCAGCATTTGAGTTATAACAGTCACCTTGTTAGTTGGTGAATCAGCAGACCTACCCAATACTCAAGTGACCTTCGGGCACAGCAAAACTAAAACAAAAAACAAACAAAAATTCTGAGTACTTAGCGCTGCTAGGATTGCTCCAGAAGAGTCTAAAGTTCTGTTAGGCTGCTTTAGTAAATCAGAATCAGATTTCTTTTACTCTGGTATATCTAAGTGGGAGTGTAGCTGAGAGGCATTAGGAAGAATAGATATAATCAAAGTCAGGTGTAAAAGTCAAAAATGCTAATTTGAAGGCTTCATTTGAGAAAGAGATGAATGTTAGTTATTACCATTTGCCAGGTACTAGAGCGATTGCTTCATATGTAATTGTCCCCTTTAAACAGAAATACGGGGAACAAAAAGATTAAATAACCTGCTCAGGTGGAGTCACTACTAAGCTATTTGGCCTCTCTTCGTCCCCACCAGTGACTTCAAAACCTAACAGAGTTTAGATGACACTGGGATAGTAGAATTTTAAAAAATTCAGTCTTTTCACTTACCAGATGTAAAACTAAAACAAGCCACTCCTTTATGTACTCTAATATTTTGTGTTGTTATTTAGAACTTATTGGTAATACAAGTGAGTAAGAGACTATTGAGATGATTTAAAAGGCACACGTATACCTCTCCTAACCCTCTTCATACCACGTACACAAGCCCAGATTACCACTTTAGACATCAGCAGATAAAAGAAATCCAGGTTCATTCTACCAGAGCAAGCACCCAGGACTAACTCTGGGGGAAAAAACTATCCAATGGACAGACACCTCAGGGCCCTCTCTCCCTCTCAGCTGCCCTCAAAACAAAATCTCTTTGTGTTTACACCAACACGCAAATGTCTGTCTGTGATTTGTTTCCCTTCTTATTGTTTGTTACATTTTACAAGGGACAAATTTTTGAGCCAAATGAATATAAGTGTGATGGAAAGCTATGTCTTCCAGACATATTGGAAATCTTAATCTGCTAGCAGGCTGCCAGTTTTAAAGATAATCTTAATATCTTTTTAAGGATGTGGGGAAATACTTAGTCAAACAAGTAGGATACAAAATTAATATGATCGCGTAGTAATGATTTATAGACATATGCATGTGAAAAAAAGCCCGGAGGAAATATATGAAAAGATTAATAGTAGATACCTTAGAGTGATGGGATTATGACTATTTTCCTTTCTATATTTTTGGATTTTCTGAATATTCTACAATGAAAATGTATTTTGCAATAGGAAAAAAACAAAGTAAGGTTTAAAAATAATATCTTATGGACCTGGGTCAGGTCAATTTGACTCTTCCGTCCCAATTAAAATATTAAAATACCTAGTGAAGTTAATGTAGGAAACTAAGCATTTAGATTTTCAGTTGCTAGGAACATGTTTTTTGCAAACAAAAAGCATCTCTATCATAATCTATGAAATAAATTGAATACTACATTTTGAAAAGTTATGAAAAGTTAATTTTCAACAAGTGACTAAATAAAAAGAAACTATTTCCTTTTTCTTTTATTTTATATATTATACATATATATATATATACATATTATATAAATTCTAGGGCACAAAAAAGTGCTTCACAGCAAAAGATGGTGCTTCTGAACCCATCATCAACCGGTTGGAAGCACGTTTGAGGTTTTCCGGTAGTGGTGAAGTTACATGGATCAAACACCCAGGCACCTGCCTCTTTCACAGCTGTTTGGAGAGGAGGTCAGGTTGCAAGGCACAGGTAATTTTGGAAATAACTTATAGGAAATGTACTGTCTGTCCCCCTTTTCTGCTAATTACTTGTAATTTTTCTTTCGTATTTAATTTTAGACGAGCCATCTATGATGCATTTGAACGCTTTCTCCATAAATATGCTAATTAGTTGGATCACTGTACGTAACCAGTGCGGCCATCATGTTTCTTACGAAGGGAGTTTCATCGTTTGATGATGTGAAGACCAAGCAGACAGCTCTGTAGATCAATTTAGTCTGGAATCCAGTGTCACAGATCAGTCAACTACAATCTTTAAATACCTTTCAATAACTTTAAACCAATATTTGGATGAAATAATGTAGAGGTATTTTGTTATTGTTTGTGGGAATCCCATATATTCGATATCTAGTCCGTTGTTACTATTTATGAAAACTTTAAATTTTTAATAATGAATAATTTATTAATTTAAAATAAATTTATTCATAGAAACCCTATTTGTTTTTAAAGAACTACTAAACTGAACTGTTTTTAATACATCAGCCTGTATTATAAATCCTTATATGATATTTCTACTATTGATTTGAGAAACATGTTTCTTTCTTTTATGGATCCATAGTGAATTTATAATCTTATTTTAACTTTAGTTTTCTGCCGTGGAAATACATTTAATGTGTAAAATCAGTTTTAACTTTGAATTCTAAAAAATCCTGATTGCTTCATACTTAAGTACTTTTAATAATTAAAATAAATGTGGGAATGCAGATGAGATGCATAAGACGTGGCTAAACTTCAAAGCTTTGCCAAATATTAGGTTAGAAAAAAATGCCACACATATTTCTCCTACTTACAAAGTTTCAATCCATGAAAAATGGAAATAATGAAAGACTTATTGCATTAATTGATAGATACTGTGTCTTAACATTTTCTTGTACATCTACTTTGGGTTTGCTAAATTAGGGCAAGTACTTAACAACTTTGGCTTTTTAATTCCAGAAGTTAATGGCCACAAATGTCCCATATAAACTTTGTTTTACAGAAAAGATATAATAACTACTGACTTTTTAAATTGCATGATTATATGGCTAGATTTGGTGCTTTGTTTTTATGTTAAACTCTCAAGCTGAGAGCAAAAATGTTTTCAAAAGTAGAAAATATTTTTGGGTATTGTGTCAAGGTTTGGGATAAACATATTTGAGTTTTATTTATTTGAAATCTGTGTTACCAATGGATTATTTTAAAATATGTATTCCTAGTCTAGTAAGGATATTTGAATTATAATGTACCTTTGTAGCCTTTTTAAAGGCTATTTTATTTGTCTCTCTAATGCCTCCACCACCTTAATTTTTAAAAACTATTAATGTGAAGTCATTGATAGCATACAAAGTCGTCAATTCTGTAAAACTCCTTTGGCATAACAAACCAACATAGTTACAGCCATTGGAGCTATAGCAATTTTACACGTTCAGACTATAATCTTTACTTTTCACACAAACTATGAAACGTAGTAAAGTTCTTCAACAAAAGACCCTTTAAAAATAAAGTTTATTGTCAACTGAGTTACAAGTAGTTTCCTATGTATGTAGTGAGGCAAATGATTGAATGCTTTCTGACCAATGACTTTAGTAAAACCAATACTTTATTTTTCTATAAATATTTCTTACTAAGCAATAATGTACTATGGTGTGTGACTTTCTATTTGTAAAAGAATGAAATTTCATTTTAATGAACTCTTAGGCATAACTAATTTTTCCCAAACAAATGTGAAAGAAGATATTTTAAAAATTTCATCTCTTAACCAAATGTTTTAAGAATATATCCATGCAAGTACTTAAATTGATTGGTTCAAAGTGCAAAATACTTTTTCTTAAAGTTTTTTTAATCCACTCCCTCCAAAATAGTGGCTTGAGCTTTAAAAAAAAATAGATAGTTGGATGGATGGATGGATGGAGACAACAAACATATTCAGAGAAGTGCTTCTGCCATTTTGAGGATTGGGTACAGAAATTCATTTAGGCCAGAGTTACAAACTGGCTGTTGAAACAGGCCAGCTTGGCCCATAGTTATTTTATTTGTGTGCATAATACTTCAAAATATTTTGAATTTGTAAAGTGTTTAGATTGGGCATGCATTCACCAGTTTGCCACAGTCCACTGGACTTTCTCTTGCACCAGACTACTTCACTATTTTGTGTTTCCTACCTAGCAGTGAAGACATCTGAGTTTGAGACCCCTGATTTAGATCTGTGGTTAGAAAAAGTTTCTGAATTTCATGATTTGCTGTTGTAATTACTATTAAATCATTTTAACATAGGCATTTTAGATTGTTTCTTATGAATGTAATCTTTTAATGTGGTGCTTTCTCTTGTAAAGAATATTGAATTGTTAAGACTAACGAAAATTTTTAAAATGATTTCCAAATATTTTATACTTCACAATAAAAATCTATTTTAAAAGTTAATTATTTTTATTTTCAAGAGGTATCATTCTAAATACAGAAAACACGTCACATTTGACTAATGTATCCAAACTTGAACTGAGTATGTGTTCCTCCTTAGTTATATTATGACCCAAACAAGGTAAGGCAGAAATAAGCAAGGGCGGCTCTAGCACAACAGTATTCAGTATTTACAACAAGGGCCAGATTTCCCCCAAATATGTATGATCTCAGGGAAGCCAGCACTCTGACAAACTAGTTATCTGAATGTTGTATAACTTACTATTGGGTATGTTTACATTTATACTAGTAAATGTACTGCAAACAATTAAAATCTAGAGATAAGAACTTAGCTATATAGGACTCAGCCGGACTGGGAAGGGGGGTTCTGGGCAGAGGCTGCTATAGAAACTGGGTTTAGAAATACTGTAAGGAAAGGTTATGGCAGATGAAACCAAGGGAAAAGAGGTATATTTTGACCATTTTGCAGGAGTAGAGGAATATTCTTATAGGCAGGAGCTTTGTGTTTCCTACCTAGCAGTGAAGACATCTGAGTTTGAGACCCCTGATTTAGATCTGTGGTTAGAAAAAGTTTCTGAATTTCATGATTTGCTGTTGTAATTACTATTAAATCATTTTAACATAGCCTAGGGAACCAATGATTGCATGAAGGACTTTGAAAACAGTTTTAACTAGAAAATGTTGGGCCAAAACCCCAAAAAGATTTTCGTTTGGACCAAGAGAACTAATGTGCAGATTCACCAGATTGTGTTAATTAAAAGAAAATGTAAACAATCATAAAAAGTCTAACCTGTGTATAAACCTGTGACTAACTGACATAAAACTGTTTTCGTATATACAGCACCTGGATAATTCCACAAAGAAATCAAGATGTTGTACCCTAGCACTTTGCTACCCAAAGTGTGCTCAGTAGATTGGCAGCATCCTCTGGGAGCTTATTAGAAATTCAGTCTCAGGTGCCATATCTAACTTACTGAGTCAGAATTTGCATTTGAATAAGATCTTCAAATGGTTCAAATATATATTATATTTTGAAAAACACCCTTCTAGAGTCTGGTTCTCAAATTAACCTGCACTGGAATCACCTGGAGCCTGGTTAAAACACCGATTTCTTGGGGCTGGTTTGGTGGTGTGGTTAAATTCATGTGCTTTGCTTCAGTGGCCAGAGTTCACAGGTTCGGATCCCAGGCACAGACCTACATACCACTCATCAAGCCATGCTGTGGTGGTATCCCATATACAAAATAGAGGAAGATTGGCACAGATGTTAGCTCAGTGACATTCTCCCTCCAGCAAAAAGAGGAAGATTGGCAACAGATGTTAGCTCAGGGCCAATCTTCCTCACCAAAAAAACCAAAAAAATCCCCACTGATTTCTAGACCCTACTGCCCAAATTTTCTGATTCAATAAGGCTATGGCAGGGCTGGGGAATGTGTGTTTCTAACAAGTTTCCTAGGATGCTGATTCTGTCTGTCCAGGGATTACACTTTAGGAACCTAAGAGCCCTGGCTCTAATTGGATCGCAGGCCTGGCTGCACATTAGAATCACCTGGGGAGTTTTAAAAGCATAGCTAAAGACACCTCTCCCCAGAGATTCAGATTGCATTGGCTTGAGGTGGGTATTTTTAAACCTCCCCTGGTAATTCTAGTTTGCAGCCAGGCTTAAGAACCATGTGCTTTAAAGGACTCAAGGGAAAAGGAACAGCTGCTGAAGGAAAGGATGTAAAGTCATTAAATCAACATAGATTTTAGGAAAGAATTCCTGATATTCTGGGTGTTATCAGCACCCAAGAAGTATTAAAGTAGCCAAGCAGGCTTGTGTTCCTTTTGCTTCTATTTTCTTATGGGTAGATGTGTGTTAGAGCAGAATGAGATGGGGTGAATTTAGGCACTTGTATGCAGCAGAACTTCTTCAAATCTTCTGCTTCTTTAACTCATCTCTCCGACTGAAAGCAGAGACAAGTATGAGCAAAGAAGAATTACTAACCTCTTTGCTTTATTTTCTTCAACCATAAAGATTACATCTTTCCTTCTTAATCTCATGACATTGCTTTTAAAAATGCAGATATGATGGCTCTTTGAAAAGTTAAAGCATTTCTTAGCTTTCACTTCCAGAGCAGTTACTCCTCAAGAATTTTGGATCCATTTCAGTGACCAAAATATATGCCTTTATTATTGTATGTTTTAGAGACAATTGTTACCAACTCAAAGAACTTTGATCTATCTCCCTTGTCCTGTAGATGACATCTGACTTTAAGTCCTTACACTTGGGCAAAAGACAATTAACTGATTCTGCTCTCAGTTTTTACCCAAGCTCAACTATAAGCCTACAGCAGCAACTTCACCTGCTAAGCATTCTTCTCTCTCTGAACTAACTCCCCAAGACGAAACTCATACAAAAGGCCAATTGGCTAATTGATAGACAGTGACAACATGAAACGTGAATGTATTTTCTACTTGGAAATATAAATGTACATTATTTCACTGGCTTCCTTCTAGATATCACTTTATAGCAATGTATCTTAGATTGTAACGTGGGAGAAAATATATTAATTGGCAATCTGAGAGATGCATTGGAAAGCCCTTTTGAGTAATATAATCTACCTGAGAGGAGATATGTTTGCTGTCACTTGCACAACTGTACCATTAGGACTATGTGGTGTTTGCTGTTATTTCTACTTTAGGGTCATGTCTTTAATTCACTCTTTGGTATTTCCAAAATAGATGAACATTATGGATCCTGGTCTGGTAACTTTGCTCTGTGTCCTGACCGCTGCCAGGTCTCCAGGATTTCATATCAGAAAGTAGGCAGTCAAGTCCCTTCTGGGACCAAATTCTGGAGGAGACAGGAGGAAAAGACTGACCAGATACACATTTCTTTTTAAATGTATTTTTTTTAAAAAAGAACTGCACAAGTCCTGATTGTATTTCAAGAGGACAGAGACCATAATGATTATCATACTCCCAAACCAAACCTTGCAACCTCATAGCCAGGCACCAGATAGATGGATTTCCATATATTGCATTTAAGTCCACTCATTTCTTGATTCATTTATTCATTCAGGAGCCGGCCCAGTGGTAAGGTGATTAAGTTTGCACACTCCACTTCAGTGGTCTGGGGTTCACCAGTTTGGATCTCAGGTGTGGACCAATGCACCACTTATCAAGCCATGCTGTGGCAGGCGTCCCACATATGAAAAACAGAGGAAGAGGGGCATGGATGTTAGCTCAGGGCAAATGTTCCACAGCTAAAAAAAGAGGAGAATTGGTGGTAGATGTTAGCTCAAGGCTAATCTTCCTGTGGCACCAAGTAGTGGCCCTCGCTTGGTCCAGCAAGGAAGCCCCGCCTGCAAAGCACAGTCCACACAAGTACCTTAACACACCCCCAGCTGTGGCAAGCAACCATAATACCCCCACAGGTTCCAAGAGAGGGATGGGGCCAGAAACTCTGCTCCGGCTTCCCCCTAGCAGTAACAGGTGGAATCTGCAACCTAATAATGACACAAATGCCCTGAAAAAATATTAGGTCATGAAACACCATGAGAAACTGCAGCAACAATTCAGGCCAGAAGGAAAATGCAATCCCACAGAAACCAACCCTGAAGACGTAGCAATTTACAACCTAAATGACAGGGAATCCAAAATACTGTCATAAAGAAACTCAGTGACTTAAAAGAAAACACGGAAAGACAGTTCAAGGAGCTCAGCAATAAAATGAATCTCTTCACCACAGAGATTGAAATGATAAAAAATATCAAGCAGAAATTCTGGATATGAAAAACAATTAATAAAATACAAAATAATCTAGAAGCCTTAAGAAATAGAGCTGATGTTATGGAGGAAACAATTAGTGACTTAGAGGATAAAAATATAGACAATTCTACAGGTGGAGGAGAAGACAGAACTAAGATTTTTTAAAAATGAAGAAATCCTTCGCAAAATATCTGACTCGATTAGGAAAAGCAACATAAGGATTATAGGTATTCCAGAGGGAGAAGGGAGGGAGAAAGGAGCAGAGAGCTCATTCAAAGAAATAATAGCTGGAAACTTCCCAAACATGGGGATGGTTCTGTACTTACAAATACATGAAGCTAATAGATCGCTTAATTACATCAATGCTAAAAGACCTCCAAGGCATATAATAGTAAAAATGGCAAAAGTTGATGACAAAGAAAAAATATGAGGAGCAGCAAGGCAAAAGAAAATAAACTACAAAGGAAACCCCATCAGGCTTTCAGTGGATTTCTCAGCAGAAACCCTACAGGCTAGGAGAGAATGGAATGATATATTCAAAACACTGATAGACAAAAACTTTCAGCCAAAATACTCTGTCCAGTGAAACTTCCCTTCAGATGTGATGGAGAAGTAAAAGCTTTTCCCCTACAAGAAATAACTAAAGATGCCCTCACTGAGAACAAAAAGGCAAAGGTCTACAAAGCTCTGAGCAAGGAGATAAATAGACAGACATGATCAGAAACCTGCAAATTTCTACCAGAACAGGGAAGCAAAGACTCAATTACAACTTAAAAGATAAAGGGGAAGAAAGCATCAAAAGTAATGGTAAATACTTCAACTTAATCACAAACTCACAACATTAAAAACAGAACAACTTGTATCAGCAAGTACTCAGAAGGGGAGAGGAAAGGGAAGGAATCTGCTTAGGTTAATGAAAATAACAAGCCATGAGAAAATGGACTATCTCATCTACAAGATTTTCATACAATCCTCATGGTAACCACTAAACAAAAAATCAGAGCAGAGACACAATTCACAAAAGGAGAGAAAACTGAGAAAGGCCCCTAAGTAAACCACCAAAATGAACTGATAGAAACACATGGGATGAGAAACAAGGGAAATACAAAACAACCAGAAAATGAGAGAAAAAATGGCAGCATTAAGCCCTCATATATCAATAATCACTCTAAATGTAAATAGATTGAATTCTCCAATCAAAAGACACAGAGTGGCAGGATGGATTAAAAAACAAGACCCAAAAATATGCT